GCATTTCAATTTCAGTAATAGAACATTCTGATCAACTGTGTCAAATGCCTTTTTCAGACCCAACAGAACGCAGGCAGGCATGTTTTGGGTCCCTTTTTTGTTCACTTAGCTCGGCTACAGCGTCAACAGTCAAGCGTTAATCGCGAAATCTAAATTGAAATGAATACAAAGTTCAAACTAAACGAAAAAAGTCCAGTAATTGCCGATTTTTAATTTTTCAAAAGTTTGACTTATTGATAGTAAAAGCGAGATTGGACGATAACTTCCGAAACTAGCTTGTCCCTTTTTTGGAGAAGGGTATGACCCCTGCTATTTTTAGTGGATCAGGGAAAGTTTCAGCAAAAAGAAAATCAATGAAGATACAAGCAAGTTCATTTATTATATTTTAACTGGTGAATACAGCCTAAAAGTTTTTCCAACTGAGATGAAATATTCTATAAGAAACTCTTGTGCCACGAGTTTATGATAGCTGATTTTACTTTCTGAATCATTAAGCATTTTGCTTGTACAACTTCAGTCTTTCGAAATTTCACACGTAACTTTTGATTTTAAAATATAACGTTAGATAGAAATTATGGATTATATAATAAGTTGTTATTCAAAAACAATATTCAATCTTTCTAGTTTTTTTATAGTTTTATTTATAATTGAATATTTGTTTGGTAACACGAAAATCATTTCTTGGTTAAAACATTACTTCGTACCGTAAATTGAGACAAAACTATTTTTGGAAAATAAATTTTCCTGAGAAGTTTTTGAGTTGGGCAAAAACAGCGCTCTTTTGTGTTTCGCACGATAATGGAAATTTCTGAGATGAAAATTAGTTCATAATTATTGGTTGGCGATGTACCATTCTATGCAATTCAGCAGTGTGATAACTGTTGTCGGCTGCTGCGCAGAACGTTCCAGACTTACAAGTCTCTTTTAAATCGCGCACAGAATACACGTAAAATTATTTTCAAGTTTTCTCAAATTTGATATTTTTGTTGTGAAATTTTTGGAGAATTCACGTTCAATCTAATTCTCGTATTATCGTTGACACAGTTTCATGAAAACAAGATTCAACTCGAATTTTGAAAATATGCTTTTAAATTTCAAGGAACGAAGTGAAGACACATATTTAGTATTCGGAGAATTTGATTTCTTGGGCCTTGACTTCTGGTTTCTTGATAAGTTTAATTGTAAACGTGGGGGAATTCACAATATCTTTAGGCCGGTCTTGCTCGCTATTTCACACCGCCGCAATATGTTCCCTTTGGTACTGAGGTCAGCGGGGCAACCGATTACCAGTATTGTTCACAATCCCAAATGGGTTGATTTGGTGGTTGGCTGCTCTGTACTGTACTGTGCTGCTCTCCCCGTGATTCGTGCTCTTTCAACTGTATCTCACCCGTCAATTAATAATCGATTGCAACAACATTTCCAATAAGAGGAATTAATTAAGAAATGAATATAACCAAATTCCGAGTAGCCTATAATTGGCTGAAATATAAATTAATCATTCAATTAAAGAAAGGGGTTCGCGATTACTATTAATTAAACCAACTGCCTCCTGCAGTTCAATTAACACCTCACTACTAGCTAACGTTCTCCTCGAGAACTTCTTTCAAAATCAATCGTTCAACAACGATTCCGCTATCCTCTAGATAGCCTAACTAACATTCACTAACTAGTCTACATTCACATTAACAAGTCTTCCATCTCGTTCTCACTTTACTTTGAGAATCAAGCGACTACCTTAGCTTGTAGCCCAAATTGTTCTCTAACTAACTGAGAACCAACTATTCGATTCGCTCGCAATAATTCTTCTGACTCTTACAGGCTCTCCGGTACCCTCCAATTCCTTATCTTTCTTTACACTTAGTTTTAGTTAAGTCACGCCATTCCCTATCAGTCCTGACATCCGCCTAAATCACCCGTCCGCACATGTTATAAGACTATATCCCTCCTCCTGTCAACTCTGCCACGTGCCAACTTCGGTTTCTTTTATCAATCTTTTCACACTTATTAGATACCCGGTATGCGGTAGCTGTCACAATTTGACCAAGCGAACAAATGTCATACGATTCTAATCAACCAATTCCTGATTTCTGTGAACTTCAGCTCTCGAGTTCAATTCAACCTCCAAACCATGCTATGTTTACTCAGTAATCCTCCCAAGGTCTTTATTTTAATTATCCCGTTAACGTTCCGACCTCCCAAGGGTATGGGGAGGCCCTTTTCATGGGTAGCTAGCCAATTTCAGGCATCTAAATTTTCTATCTGTACTCTATTCCAATCCCGACCTTCTAGCTATCAGGGGAACGTAGTTCGTCTATTAGGGGTCAAATCAAACCAGAAAGTCACCTCCGGGGAGCCAGTAAGTTTCCCGTCCGTTCATACTATTTAGCAAACTTAACTCTCATGCCGCGGTCTCATTACTATCAATTTCCTCTGGGACTACTTTTCTTTTACCCTGGTTGATATTCTATTATTAGCGCATTCGCCAAGCTAAATTGAACTCAATGTTTACCAAGTCCGCTTTAAATTAAATCCTCTACTCCAAGGTTGTAATGTAAAATCTATATCTCTATCGGCTTCTGCTATAGTTCCCGATATATAAGTTTTCCTCCCAATTTTTAGCAAGGTGACCCATTCTCATTTCCAGGGGTTGGGCTGGGAAATGCGCCACTTTCCGGTGTTAATATTGGGCTTTCCATGCAATTTTGGGGTCAAAAAGCCCAAAAGTCAAATTAAGGTCACCCAGAGGTCGACCGGAGTCAAACTTCCATATTTGGGTTCAGAATCCCATTCAATTAGCTTCAAAAATGAACTTTAATAATCAGAGTTCCCAGCGTAGTAAAAAAATTTAGTCAATTTCATTTAATTTGGTTAGTTTTATTTGAAAAAATAGTGCTTACAAAAGTTTCATAAAATTGAAAGTGCTCTAACTAGCGTTAGCTTAAACTTCTTTCAAAAATTGAAAGATGTTCAATTTTGTTTTTCATGTTTGAGTTCATTGGCACTTCTGTAACTTTTTGTCGGCTATTTTTCTTTCATGCAATCACCGAAGCTGTATAAAGTTATGTCTCAGTGATGAGAAAAAAACTTTTTTTCCGACTTTCAGGGAAGTTTTAGTAGTCTCAAAATATTTGGAACAATTTTGAGCCGCTTGAACTATTTCGAACTTTACCCTTTGTTTGCTCTACTGCTTAACTTAATGACGAATCAATCTTACGCTCAGGTTACTATAGCATGTAATACAGTAGAATCACCAATTCTACGTTAATTCATATTCATTTGCTTAAAAAAGCCTAGGTTGCACTCTTCATTAACAAAAGTGTAATTGGTGCAAAAACTTGAATTTCAATTAGCTTCAAAAATGAACTTTAATAATCAGAGTTCCCAGCGTAGTAAAAAAAATTAGTCAATTTCATTTAATTTGGTTAGTTTTATTTGAAAAAATAGTGCTTACAAAAGTTTCATAAAATTGAAAGTGCTCTAACTAGCGTTAGCTTAAACTTCTTTCAAAAATTGAAAGATGTTCAATTTTGTTTTTCATGTTTGAGTTCATTGGCACTTCTGTAACTTTTTGTCGGCTATTTTTCTTTCATGCAATCACCGAAGCTGTATAAAGTTATGTCTCAGTGATGAGAAAAAAACTTTTTTTCCGACTTTCAGGGAAGTTTTAGTAGTCTCAAAATATTTGGAACAATTTTGAGCCGCTCGGGTCTATTGCTTCAAATTTTACCTTAAGTGTCCAATTTTGTCTTCATCCTTCTAATCCGGTCAAATTGGCAACGCAAGAAGTGTTTGAGACGCTCACTTGAGACTTATTAATTAGTAATTGATTCTGTAATTGATTTTTTTCTGATGTTTAAAGAAATAACGGTTGATATTGGGTGTTGTCTCATAATATTTAAAAGATTGTCATTAAAAATACACCAAATTGAATTTGCTGCCAAGTTTGACTAATTTGCATGAAATCCAATTAAATTGGCGTCAAGTTTGAATGAGTACGCAGGTGGTTCGTTTATCTGCTATATGAAAAACCAATTATATTCTTTACTATTAAGGCGAATTCTCTGAAATTATTTTAAATTGCTTCATAAAAGCACTTTGGAAGAAAATTGGTGAAAGTTAATTTTCAATGAGACTGAAAATGATGTTCAAAATACATATGTTTCGAAAGAGGATTTTTTTCTTTAGAATCAATGTTGATTGGGAGTTCAGTATCGAAATTGTGAACTTCGACCCCCTCGCCAACCAAGGGGTCCCTCCTTTGGTTTTATTTCACGTCATCATTCTAGACCGACCAACCCTAAAATTTTTCTAAAGGCGCCTTTGGCATCAAGGTATTTTTTATTTAAAGGGGAGCGCGCGCCGAAAAACGCAATTTTTTGATCGAAATTTTCAAAAAGGGCCCAAAAACGGCTTTAGAGTGTTCCGAGATTATCTAGATAACGTCAAAACAAAACGTGCCTTTTTAAACTAGATTTAGACAGCTGGAAAAAATTAGCCTCAATTAACATGAGCGGTGCAGACGATGAGTCAAAGTGCCATAATTTAATTCAAAAATGCCTTTTAAATCATCAATTTTTATACAACAAGAATAGCCAGTTGTTCTGCAAAGAGAAAATATTCAGGCAACAGTAGCTGTTGTAAAAATTTCCAAAAAGTTTCAATTTTTTTTCCAAATATTTCAGTTTTTTTTCCAAATATTCCTTTTCCAAGAACGTTCTCTGTTCATTTCTCGTGTAGGCGTGAAGGTTTAAAAATATGATAAAACACAGAGGCGAAGCTAAGTTTAGCACCACTTGCGATACAAAAATGAATGACTATAATTAAAATCAAACGAAAAAATAAGTAATTTCGGTTTCCTTGAGTTCATAGACACTTTTCTGTTAGTTATGATTTCAAAACATGAGTTTCTGACATGACCCGCTAGTCACAGGTTAATTTCAAGGTGTAAACAGGTTCAGTCCATTTAAACTGCCAGTTTAATGTGGCTTTGTTTTTTATATAGCATGATGGCGTTTTTCACGCCAGCTATGTTCGAAGAACATTCGCAGTTGCAGATCTTTTTCGAAAATCAATATGAACTGTGCAAACAACAGAAGCATTACACGCCGAAAAAATCTGAAGCTGGAGAAATTAAAGACAGGAAACGAATTTCAGAACCCAAGGAAGAACCGAAAACTGCCGCTAAAAGACCTTTGGTTTATTGCAAATCGCCCAGTGATACGAAAAACGTAAAAAATGACCTAAATTTATCATTTTACAATGAAGCGGCGCTTAATTTAAGTGGCTTTGATCATCCTGCTTCTTGGTATCGAAAACACTTGACAAAGCACGCGAAAAATTTCAATGGACACGATTTTCATGACAAAAATTCTTCGCAAATTGGTGGTCTAACGCACGAGAAGTACTTGAAACTTTTTACAAAACACGGGATGCGATCGCCATACGAACCGAATTTGACAAAAGAGGAGAAAGAAGAACGATTGGAGATTCGGCGGTTTGTATTTTGTCCTATGCTTTCCTTCTCGGCTCTTTTTCCTCCCCCATCCCACCTGCGAACTCTGACTTATGGTTTGTTTGTTCACATGTTCAATTATTAACAAAAATTGGTATGCGGACTAATTAGGTTCATAGTTTACTTGTAAAACCATTCGTTACGCCGTAAAACTGATCTAAATTACCTTCTCCAACGCAAAGTTAAATAGCGTGAAAAAACGTGGCTCTTTTTCCTTCCCCCCCCCCCCCCCCCCCACCTCACACGAGCTTCAATATATTAGTGTAACGAAGGATTTTACGAGGTTGAGTATGAAGACCAAATTTGTTTGTCATGGCCTTATTAGTCTGTATGTAAATTTTCATAACAATCGGACAATGTGGTCAACAAATTTACATGTAAAAATTTGCAGGTGGGGGGGGGGGAAGGAAAAAGAGCCAAAAACGTTAGCTAATTCTCTGATTTCGGAAGTGGATTTGGTTTGAAGGTTTCCTTTTAGTGGAATAAAAACTTGAGCTCTTTATGAAGTTTTCTTAAATAGGGTTTACTTCATCAGAAAAAGGCCTTATAGTTAACTTGTAAAAACCATTCGTTACCCCGTAAAACTGGTGCTTATGTGAGGTGGGCATTAAAAGAGCTTCCTTCTCTTTTTGTATTTTATGTTTCTACCAAATGTAAGAAGATGATGGTTTAAAACAAGGTTCTGATCATCAAGCTTTATCGAGTAGGAAGATAGAATTTTCAGGTAAACAATTTTCAGGTCTGACTAGATCGGTGACCTATTTGATAGTTTACTGATATCAATTTTTTTCCGCATTTGTCGCAGAGGTGGGGTCAATTGATGGGACGAATCGTTCGAATCCTGCCCGGACTTTTTTGGCGTATTGAAAATTTCTTACCGAATTATTTCTTGATTAAGTTCACTAAAATTTGTCAGAATGTGTGGAGATTTAGACTTTCATGTTGAAATGTTGTTTTAAATCAAATTTTCGAATTTTTAAGTTTGAGCATTTAAACGGATTTGTACGTATGCGTTTTTTACTGCGGGTAAAGCTTCGCCCAGCTTTTGCGTACTAAATTTCGGAAATAAAAATGTTTTGCGTAAAAAATCTTGGAACTTTGGCTTCGTTTTTTAAATCATTGTTATGCATCATTGATTATATCCGTGACTCATTTTTTATTACCAATTAAGGCGAAGCAAAGCCTCAAGATTGTTCTAATGAATTGATTGGACATAAGTGCTTAGGTAAAATTCAATAGAAGCTTAAATTACCTAATCAAATCTAATGCATCCTTCCCTGATTCGCCTTAATTGAGTTTCCTGTTTCAGTGAATGCTATTTTTACTCAGCTTCTTCGCCTTTTAAATTAGGCTTCTTTCAAAATATGGCAACGCGATAGCGTCTCATGAATGCACTTGTGCTAAGTGAATTAACCTGGGAAGTAATATCATGCTTCAAAAAATTTGAAGTTTAAGACAAAACAAGACTGCTGGTGTCACGGCAAAACTCTGACTGCCTTTTTTTAGATCTATGGAGTAGTATTCGCCAACACGCTGTAAAGTACAAAAAGATTTTTTGCTCCGACTTTCGAGGTGTTTTTTATTCAGACCAATTTTCGTTGGCCCCGCCGAGTTAGCACACCACTATATTAACCTGACACGATGGAGCCTAAACTTCTCGTTTTAAAATTTGATGAAAAATGTAACTGTTTTTGATGTATTCCTGTAGTTTATAAAATTTAAAGACTTATTAAACGCGGTTTATTGTGTTTCTTCACAATTTTTCTGAACTTGTTTCTTTTTTAATTTTGTTTCGATTTTGCTATTTCAGTTTCATTTTTCTTTTGCTAGCTTGCAATGATGTTTTTGCATTGTATCGCAGATAATTTGACGCTCCTCTTCTCCTTGTCATCTTTTCGTTCTCAATGGGACATTTCCTGCATGTTCGAACTATGGCCTATGCCACCGGGTTTCAATATTCATCTATATATTGGCTTTTGCTATATTTGGCTTGTACAATTTTTGTTTTTTTTCCAATTCCTGTTTTAGAAACCTCTGCAGTGTTGTGAGTTGACTTTGAGAAGCCTCTCCAGTGTTGTGAATTTTTTTTCCATTTTCAATTTTTTTTGTTTTTACATCTTATTTTCTACTGTATCGCAAGTGATGCGAAGTTCCGCTTCTGTGTGATTGTTAAACGTGTATTTTTTACCCGTGGGAATTATCCCGCTTTACCAATCGTTCCAATTTGAATTGAGGCAAACTAATTGCTTTTATTTATTCAATAAAAGCAATTAGCAGCAATAAAGCAGCAAAAAGCAACAATAAATTGAGTCACACAACATCACAAATTGGACCTTTTTCTAGAGTACAAGATGCTCGAATGACCTGAAAAGTGGAAAATAAAAAAATTCTAGCTTGTAACCATCCAAATATGTACTTAAGAGAGTAGAAAACTTCTCCGTAAACATGTCTAAAGGAAATTTAGTATGAATTAATTTAGCGTACAACTGTCAACAATTAATCATTTAATATTGACCAGTACGTTTTCCGAAGAGCATAGCTACTCGACAAATGGGTTACGTGAATATTGAAATTGATTATGCTCAAAAAAGAATGAAACTAGTTTGAAGATCATTTTTTAACGTTTGGTTCTCCAACATATGAATGTAATTTTTCTTTCAAATGTTAAGCTTGTGCTTGATTTTGCCATGGTCTGTTGACATAAAAATCAAAAAGTTTTCTCTAAAAATTATCTGCTATCAAAACGAAACGTTTCAGGGATTTCATAAAATATGACCGACAGGCAGAAGATGATAAATTACCTTTAGCGCCACTACGTGTTTGATACGCATTCATTTTTAATTTCTAGTACCGTCTTTTAACAACTTTAAGCAAAATCTTTTAAGTTTTTAAAGATTGAAGGTACGTGGTGCTGAATTAGAATCGCACGCACGGAATCACGTTTTTGTTTGGAAAAATAGCTGGTTATTTATTTGATTTCATAATAATCATTTGAATGGCTTGGCTTGTCTTAGTTCAACTTTATCTGGTATTTAAGGCTCGTCTTACTGTTAGTATGTCAATTTGAATCACTTGTTTTGCGTGGGAGTATCAAAATATTACGATTTGTTTCAAATTTATATCATAATCAGCGCCACAGAGTTTAGCCCATTTGTTAATATTTTAAAAGTTAATAAACATAATAAAAACTCATATATAGGTAGGTTGTGATGTTTTTGTTTGTTTTAGTAAAATTCTGAAAATTTGTTCTCCCTCAAATGTAAATTTTTGTGATTTAACTTCTATTTCTCTTTTTTTTGAAGTTCAGTTCATTTCCTTGTAAGGCAAACTCAATCGAAAAAAAAAAAATTAAAGTTTGCGGAAAACGAAATCGGCGTCCAGTTCCGAACCTGGATTTTTTGTAGATTTGTCAGCGAAACTAAAAATTTATTTATTGATCCATTTTTCTCAAATTGGGTCAATTTTTATCAAAAAAGTGTACAACATAAATTGTTCGTGAAGTTCAAAGAGCTTCTCGAAGCATTGTTTTTTTTTCAGTAAGCAACAATTTTTTTCGTTTCCTTGCGTTCAATGATTCTTTCGAAGTTGAAAGCTAAATTTTGTCAACTATCGTGACCGAATACTCTCAGCAATCAATGGAAATCAGTTTTTTTCCCAAAAGTTTCCACTTCGTCAGGTGTTTAACCCTAAATTTCATGTATTGATGATTTGAATAATTGATGATTGGGTAGTTTTATCAAATCATTTTTTCGGGGAGAGGTCATGGACTTGAACGCTAATATTTACCATTGACGTAATTGTCAAGGACTTGAATGCTAAATTTTTGTCAACCATCGTACCCAAACGTTCTCAGCAATCAATGGAAATCAGTTTTTTTCCCAAAAGTTTCCACTTCGTCAGGTGTTTAACCCTAAATTTCATGTATTGATGATTTGAATAATTGATGATTGGGTAGTTTTATCAAATCATTTTTTCGGGGAGAGGTCATGGACTTGAACGCTAATATTTACCATTGACGTAATTGTCAAGGACTTGAATGCTAAATTTTTGTCAACCATCGTACCCAAATGTTCTCAGCAATCAATGGAAATCAGTTTTTTTCCCAAAAGTTTCCACTTCGTCAGGTGTTTAACCCTAAATTTCATGTATTGATGATTTGAATAATTGATGATTGGGTAGTTTTATCAAATCATTTTTTCGGGGAGAGGTCATGGACTTGAACGCTAATATTTACCATTGACGTAATTGTCAAGGACTTGAATGCTAAATTTTTGTCAACCATCGTACCCAAATGTTCTCAGCAATCAATGGAAATCAGTTTTTTTCCGAAAAGCTGTCACTTTGTCACGTGTTTTTCACACAAAGTTTTATATATTGATATTTTGAATAGTTGATGGTTGGGCTGTTTTATCAAACCATTTTTTGGGAAGAGCTTTTTTTTAAGAAAAAGTTAAATTTTCATTTCAGTATAGTGTCATCTGCAAAGATACAATCTACACGAGTTTCGATGTGAAACGCTTTTTTAAAGTCAATTTGCATTGCAAACTCAAATTTATTGTTTGTCAATTGCTGATTTTAATAAATCTAGTTAACACATCGAAACTTGACTTGCCAGGTTGAACTTTAAATTGGGTGAGCAAAATTAGGTTTTTGTTTCTGATTAACTCAAACAATCTTTTGTTTTTTCATTTGGGAGAGCATGTGTATTTTAGATATCTTTTTAAAATGTTTGCAATGGATGGAAGTAAAACTAATTGTCCTATAAATAATTCTCATTTGACTAATTGCATATTGTCAAGAGGAACAATCTTCGCCAACAAATGAGCTTTTTTGTTAACAGGCATTAAGAAGTTCAATCCAAAAATGGCTCGTTAAAGGTAAATCAATGCTCAGAGTTGTATTCATAATGTCATCGTGATCACTGAGTTGTTTTTGAAAATTTGCAGAAAACAAAAAAGTACTTTGTGGGTTGTTTTAAAGCAAGCGGTTCATAATGTTCTATGAGCTTCTGGGCATTGTGTTTTTTAATTTTCCTGTTTGAAAAAGTTTTCAAAGCTGTTTGACTGTATAAAGATTTCTGATGATGTTTGTGCTTTTATAAACTGCATTTTTTTTACACAACCAAAAGAGTGTAATGGTTCACTTTTCCAGCCAACTAGTCAAAAATTGAGTATAAATAGTCAAAAAATGAGTTTTTTTGCCTCATAATTCTTCAGCTTTTTAGCATTGGCAAACTAACAGCTTGTAGTTTATCTTTGTCGAGAGTTTGAAAATATCAAAGGTCTATAGCGTGGTTTGGAGATCGTGTGTTTGATCCTTGTTGGTAATGTTTTTTGCTTTTTGAAAATTTATATGATTTTTTTTTGCATTCAAAGATTCTGTTTATTTGATCTCGCTGTCCCATTTTTGCTTACGTTTCCGAAGTGCATACATTATAAACAAAGCTGATTATAATTATTGGTGCAAAATAAATTGAATTTCACGTTTTAACTTGAATTTTCTAATTTCTTATAATTGGTGTAGTTTAGAAAAGTAATTATGAAAACAATTTTGTTTGCAATTTTTCCAGAATTATTATCGAAGTATCTTATTGGATCGATGTTTGATCAGAGAATACAAAAAAGTTCTTTGTTTTTGCATTGTTTGCAAGGGATGTGAATAGGATGATTCACTTTTAGGTATGTTTGTACCTTCAAACAAAATGGTTTGCAGAAAACTTCAAATTAAGTTAAAACGGTTTATTCACGAGGGAAAGGACCAACATAAGAGCTTTTCAGCTCTTCACGGAGAACCGCTGTTGTACCCCAATTTAAGTTCTATGTGCAATTTTTTGGTTATTTTTCTGGGCTGGGTAATGTTGCCTCACCCTCAAACAACGAGCCCGGATCATGGTGGGTCTCGAACATCCGACCTTCCGATTGAGAGGCTGAAACGTAACCTCGTCACCCCAGTTTGTTATCTATTTATGTGTTGTTTTAGTCTCCAGGAATTGGTCAAATCGGAGCAACAGCAATGCCAACATGTTTATGAGCGCATCTCCAAGAGGACTAGAGGTGAAAAGTACTCGTCGTTTGCGAAAAGTATCCCTAGTCTGTTCACGCATCTGCTGAGAAAGCGAGTCGTGGCCAGCTTCGAACGACTACACGCAGTGTACGTCAAAGACATTGAGTTTGACTTCTCTCAAATGGTTTTTAGAGCTACAGATCAACTTGGATTCCAGGTCAGATAATTTTTTTTGGCTCTTTCCCAGTTTTCATCCCCCTTTGTAAAAATTACAACCTAATCTTGTTTATTTTTGTTTATATGGTAATTTGCATGTTCGCAAAATTGAAAAAAATTGTCCACTTGTTCATGCTGACGCGTTCTGTTGCATTTAAGAACATCAAAAGTCATTTTAAATAAGTTTTCACAAATCTAGTTTCAGGAAAAATCGAATGATGTCTGGAACAAAGATTACTAACTTCGAAATCATGGTCGGGAAATATCAGTAATACGTTTTCTTTGCCCGTTTGAATGTAAGCAGATAACTCTGAAGCCTTAAAAAGTAAAACCAACATTTTTTCTAACCCCAAACTCGTATTAGCGAATCCCCCTTTAAGTGATTTTGATTTTCAGCATCCCGCAGTTATCCGAGTTGATGTAATCTCTTCATTATCGCAACAAGCAGAAGGAACAGTCAGCTATCCGCCACTTACGCAGGCAAATTTAGCCAATCCTGTTATTCTGAACCAGCCGAATCTTTTCGATGTCGCGCTACGAAAGGTGGAAAATTCTATTCCTCAGAAGGGAGTCATAATAAGGCCTGAACAAATCGGCCATTTGTATGTAAATCAAGACACTCTTTTGAATATGATCGACACGGTCTGTATCGTAGATATCGACATCCTGACACTACTAGGAAAGTTGCATTGCTAGTTAATTATAAATTTGACTTGGGTATTACTTTTTGAATATTCATGCTAATTTTATTTTTTCTGCATGCAAATTTCAATTAAATAATAATTTTTGGCTGTTTCTGTCAAAACCAGGGTCAGATAATTGAAAAATTTTAGGCCTATGTTGACTTCTGATTCATCGAACAAAAATCATAGAGGTGTCATGAATTAGTATTGATGATGTGTCAAGACGATCCTTGATTGGGCTGGAGAAAGTTTCAAAATCCTAACGATAAAGTTCATTTAGAAAAAAAACACCAGATGCGCATGATTTTTTTTGAGAGGGATTTTGCAAGTTGTTCGGCCCTTAAACCCAAATAGGACACCATTCTGTTAAAAATTTCTGCACCGGAGGTAGTTTTTGAAAAAAAAAACGGGCCAAAAATAACCTTTTTGAGCACTTATTGAAAGGTTTTGTTGTGACCAAAAAATTTGCGTTTTTGTCGGAGCGGGTTCGATTCCAAGTTACTTCAATTTTTCGCCAAAGGCGCCCTTAGAAAATTAGGGTTATTAAGACATAAATTGATGTCGTAAACTAGTACCAAAATTTGGCCCTTTGTATAAATTCGGAAACTAAATCAGCTGAATGGAACAATTTTTGAATGCTCTTTCCCCCTTCCACTTCATTAAGAATGATAATGTACAGCTGATCGACAGTTTTTTTCTAATTAGCATGAACTGATATTTGTCGTTGCTTAATTGTAATAGTTATCCCGGGGGTAGCTACTTGTTTCGCTGAACAGCCTGTTCTAGCTACCCTGATGCAGTGAATGATTTTGCAGATTGTACTTTCTTCACTGTCTCGAATAAACGATTTGAAGAAAGAATTGAACAGTTAACCATATACGGTTTTTGTACCTCGTAATGAAGTCCCCCCTCCCTTTGCAATAGGGGTAAATTGTTAACAAAATCTCATTTTCTTATAATTGTTAAGATTGAGATTTTTTGGCACGGAAGATTTTCAAAAATGCAACTAAGTATAACCTTTTTCATGATACTAGGCTGTACATATTCTAACTTAATAGCAACAATGCAGCTTAAATATGTCTCTTTCGACATGCTTGACGAAGCATGAATTTTAATTGTGCATTTTTTTGCAAACTATTCGTTACATTATTATTAAACAGTGACTCTTTGGCTTAAACTTTTATGTTGAAAATTTGAGGATTAAATAGGTTTTGTGACTTTTGTATACCTCTAACTTATAAAGATATTCTGGAATACTGGTCGGGCAAATCTCGTTGGGTGAAAACTACGGGGTAGCGTGGATTTTTCCAGCAAGTTCCAGAGGTAGTTAAGTAAGGTATGGTACTTAAGCCCATATAATTTATTTTCAATTGCCCAACGAAGTTTCAAAAAGTTCACTCGATGTTACAAAGAAATTGGCAAGTTTTTGAAGTTTCAACTGGTTTTATACCTATTTTCTTTCTGGATTCCCAACCAGACATTGAAACCATTTTAACTTTGAATTACCTTCGGAGCTTAATTTCAATTCGCTGTTGCTTACCGTGCTCGGAACATTCTGCGCTATGTGTACGGTACACTTGTTCAATTGAGGATGATTTTTTTTATACTACTAAGCCTTTCAGAAACATGAACAGATCTTCGGTAGTTTTAACACAACTGCTGAATGATTTTGATCGACAATTACATTCTTCTCAATAAAATGAGCTCAAAGTAACTTGACAATCAATCTACTACCGATCATTGTTATTTGATTAGAACGCATTTGTCATCAAACTATTCGATTCGGTCGGACAATGATGATTGTTTGCGAGTTTCGTTGTTCTGACAGACATCAAACGATAAATACGTGTTTAAATTGGCTAAATCTGAAATTTGAGAGATTGTCTTTAACAACCATGACAATATAACAGAAACTTTAATTCTGTTTCTGTTTTTCTGTCTTTACTATTATTCAGTTCGGTAAAAAAAATGGATGCTCCGATTGAAATTTTGTTATTGATAATCTTTTTGATTCTCGTGGTCTCGTTGCTTTTCGGAGTGTGTTGTTACAAGTTGTACAACCGAGTGGTACATATAGACCAGGAAATCAGACCCGAAGATAGACCGGCCGAACAAGAGTGTCAAATCTGACCTTTTTTTGGATTACCTGCTAGTCAAGTTATGATGATTTGCACTTGTTTAAGTATTCAAAACTTAGTTCTTATTAAGGTTTAAATTGATTATTATATCACTCATAATTATAGATCTGCGATTGTATGCTTCTGCTCATATTTGTATGTTTTCTAGAAAAATTACTCCAGATATTTTGAACTATTTATAATAAATTGTTTCAATTATAAATGAGGACCGGTTCAATTAGTAAACTGATTTTTTCCGATTGTTTTGGAATTTATTGGTCTACAAAACGATTCTATAGCTAAAACAACATAAAGTTCACATGAGTGTTTCTCAAACGTTAAAAAAAGCAACTTTCCTGAATGATTTTAAAAGCTTCTTGCTCGCTGGCTTACGACATAGAAATAGTTCTGATCTTCAGCAAAACATTTAGTGCAGAAATTAACAAATCTGTCATCAAATTCAACAGCGAAGTCACGCCTTTAAACAACTTCCCTCCAAGGTTACTTTGCTCAGAGGCAGTCAAATTTCTGCTAGAAGAACGTTTCGGCTCTTTGAAAACAGAACCGCCTGATGGTTCTGGCGATAAACCAACGAGATTTGTCTCAATGCACAATTTATATGGGGTTAATAGTGGCGTGTCTTTCGTGGTCGGAATTGAGAACCCAGTTTGGGTTAAACAGCCGACAGTGCATGAATTAGAAACGAATACGAATATGGCTTTGGACCAATTAGTGTTCTATGTAGTAAAGCGGGAAATGCAGTGTGAGTTCGGCTTGGAGGAACTCAGTGTTGATGAAGCTGTACGAATTGTGATGTTGGTTCACTTGTTTCCCAGTTCAAAGGTAAGTTTTTACGATTGTGGTGCGTTTAGCCCCGCACTTATTTCGCCCCTCATCGATTTATTACTGCACTTCGTGAATAAAATATTTTGGGCAAAATGTGTGAGGGGCGAAGCGTGCCACTAAATTTAAGAGGGGCGAAATGCGGGTAGACTGGTTTTTAGAGCCCGATAAATGTCTCTGGTTACCGCAGCGGGATCCTGTTTACAATACCTTTCATGCAGGCTAGCCACTTGCTCTATATTTACAGACTGGTCGATAAAAGTAATTATTTGGTCTATAACTTTTTAGACACTTTATGACTTCCGGGCTTCAATGGAACTGGGAACATTGTGTCTTCAGATACGCATAAAAAAGTGCTAAATTTCTCGATATTTTTTCTTCGAAATCCGAAAGATCAAAAGTTTGCGATCCATTTTTTTTCGGTTTCCTTGTACTTTACACTTTTTACACTAGCGTCAGCTTAGTGTATTGTTATGAACCTTTTTTTTCTAAGCTAACTCGCAAATAAACTCAGATATATATTATTATTTTTTGCTAATTCGAGGCTTATTTCTACTTTTACTTATTGCACTTTAGAGCTGCTTTTTGTCGTATTCTCGCAAGTGTTTGAGAAGCGAAGCTTCGCCTCTCTGTTTAATTGTTTCAGTAGTTTTATTATGTGTACTATGGGAAAATTAATTGTTTGTGGGATTCAACAAACGAAGCGGCATATACTGCTTGAGCGTATTCATGACACGACTGTATAAGATAAAGTGCAATTCAAAAAGACCACGGTAAAATCCTCCCCTTTCCCCAAAGCCATTTTGGTTGATGTTAACTTGGTTCTGATTTCAAAATTTAAGCGAGTCAGAATAGAGCATTTTACACGCAGTTTAAATTTAAATTGAACGCTGGGTTGGAAGATCTTAATTTGGTCTTTTGAGACAGTGATGTCATGTCCAATGTAACCATTTATTGAAAAAAGTTTTATCTTGGCTTGTACATTAGCTTTCAGGAATGCATTCTTAATCTGAGTAAGGCCAAAGAATTAGATTTTTTACCACGCCACTCCAAACCTTCAATCAGTCTTGTTCCCTCAATCAGGAAGTGGCAATTTAATAAATTTAATACTTTTTGCTAACGTCCGAAAAAAATCGCATCTCAAATACCTTCATAAAATGCATCATGCACAGAGTAATTGTTCCGACTTTCGATACGAAAGTGACGGAATATTTGTGCTCGGGGTGGTTTTTTTTTCTTCAGACAAATTTCGACTTTTCAACTAGCCGTTTTTGACGGAATTTTTTTATATCATTCGAAAGGTATTGTTGTCCTGAGCTTAAATTTGAAAAGATATTTTACCTGTGATCATTTTTCGTAAAATTACGGGGGTTTAAAGATTGCCATTTTGGCCAATTTGGGACAATTAACGCGCGATATATTTCGCGCTATTAACGCGTAAGCGGAGAGTTAATCCGTCTTAGAAATCGTTCCAAATTGGTTGAAAGAAGCTTATTTGCCATAATTGATTTGGTTCAAGGAGCGAAATCTATCCTTTTGTAATTTATATGGTGTGTGGGGGGATGATTTTCATTTAAAAAAATTCAAATTTTAGAAATTTTTTTTTTAATTTTGTTTTATTGTTCCGACTTTCGATACGAAAGTAACGGAATATTTGTGCTCGGGGTGGGTTTTTTTTTTCTTCAGACAAATGTTGACTTTTTAACTAGCCATTTTTGACGGAATTTTTTTATATCATTCGAAATCCATTGTTGTCCTGAACTTAAATTTGAAAAGACATTTCACCTGTGATCATTTTTCGTGAAGTTATGAGGGTTTAAAGATTGCCATTTTGGCCATTTTGACCAATTTGGGACAATTAACGCGCGATATAATTCGCGCTATTAATGCGTAAGCGGAGATTTAATCCGTCTTATAAATCGTTCCAAATTGGTTAAAAGAAGCTTATTTGCCATAATTGGTTTGTTAGAAGGAGCGAAATCTATCTTTTTGTACTTTATATGGCGTGTGGGGGGATGATTTTCATAAAAATTTTCAAATTTTAGAAAAAAAAATTTCATTTTATTTTATTTCATTTAATTTTTTATGTTATTACTGCTGCTCCAAAAACCTTAAAAGGCAGTCGGAACCTTCAGGGCTTCGCCCTGATACGAGCAGTCTTGTTTTATTTAATTTTTAAATGTTATTACTGCTCCATTAACCTCAAAAGGCAGTCGGAACATTCAGGGCTTCGCCCTGATACGAGCAGTCTTGTTACAATTTGTTTTTATCATTTATTAGAAGCTAAATTGGTTGAACCAATTCGGTTAAAAACATTTTAATTGTTTAATGGTTAAAATATCGGTTCTCTTTTTTTTATCTGAACATCTCAGTGTTGAGGGTGGGGGGGGGGGGGCGGGGGGGGATGTTAAATTGATCCATTGAAACTATTTACTAATCACTTTATCTTTTTATCATTTGATTCATGTTGCTTAGGTTGTTTTGGTACGCGTAGATGCCGACTGCTCATGTATTCTGCATGTCACAGACTACGCCATCGGCTACGCTGAGTTCAACCACTTAATGATGAAAATGTCTGTGAACAACTTCCAAGCCATACTTCATAAACTGCTTCAATTCATCAATAAGTTAGGCCGCCTTGAAACCAATGCCACATATTTACTTCGCAGACCTGATTTTTCGTCCAAGTGCGAAATCTTCATCCAATCAAATTTGAGCAATGCGCCCGACTTGACAATGCGACAGTCTTTGAACTTGAAGAAAGTCTACGAGCAAAGTTTGGATTTGTTGCCGACTAGTTCGATTTCATGGCTGCCGATTGATGTAACCAGAATTATGCCGTTTCATTACGCTACTGGAAGAGTTCCGGCAACTTTTCCGATTTCGAGTTCCAGCAAACAGAATCAACCAAGAAGTTCACGGGTTAGACACCCCCAGCAAAGCCAGCAACTAAATCAAAGCAACAATAAACAAACTTCTTTTTCTAATAAGAGGAAAAATAAAAATAAAGGCAAACGATGAAATTGAACACTATCTCGATTCAAAATGACAGTTTTTGTTCAATGTGAGTTCTTTATTAATTTACTTTGTTCGATATTTATTACTCAAACAAACAAACTCCGAAAGAAAACAAGGTCAATCTGTATTTTGATTTTTTTTTTTGCTTAAATGGTCTAGGGGTAGGCTGTATTAACTAGGGGGAGCTGCATCGCTTAGCTCAAATTTGTGCGACTTTTTGTTTTGGGCTCAACTGGCGTCCATTCAAGTATTGTCGACTTAGTTGCCACTCGGTCAAGAGTTTTGAGTGCTTACTTAACGGCAGCGATTGTATTTCTTGACATATTTTTTTGCTAAAAAGAGCCTTATTTGCGAAAAAATTTTAGATTTGAGAAGATGCGATTTTTCCGAAGTTTTTCAAGTGGTTAAGAAAAAAAAACAATGGCTGGCAATAAAACTTTGCGCTTGGTAATAAAACACTACGTTCGCTATCTCGTTTAAGAAAAATCTCATTTAGTACTAAGAGTTCTGATGGGATTTTAGGTATTATACTCTTTTTGTGTTTGTAATTTCATACCATAAAAAGAGTTTGTTGCCCCTACTCTTTGTTTTGCCTTACTCAGCAAAATTTAAGTGTCGTCCGAATGAGCAAGTGGTCTGTACTTGTCAATACCGAGTTCGCTTTCTGAAGTTAGCGTTCTCATTTGGCAACTGTTTTCAGTGTACTTAAATGACAGTCTGCTAAAAAAAAACCTTCTTCTAAAAGACATTGCACCTATTAATGAACAATTTAGTTGAAGAACAAGATCTTTTACTTTTTTGTTTTGCTTTTTAGGGGGACCGATCGTTTAGCAGACCAATCTATTAGCATAAAAAGTGAAAAATGAGTCTCTTAGCAGACCAACGTGATAAATTGATGGATGATTGATTGACAGACTCAAAAAGACGCTCAGTCTGGAGCCAAGCGTCCCCAACTAAGTCAATTATCTCACGATATGTCAACAAAACTATCAACTTTAAAAACACAACAGTCTAAATTTGCGGCAAAACAAAGAGTTACACGCACAATAACACTCGTGTTGAATTGAAGCGCAGCAGTAGCTAGTCGCCAATGCTGCGTTTGAAGTTAGCTATCACACTTTATGGGGACCGATTGTTTAGCAGACCAATCTTTTAGCATAAAAAGTGAAAAAAGAGTCTTTTAGCAGACCAACGTAATAAAGTGATGGATGATTGATTGGTAGACTCAAAAAGACGCTCAGTCTGGGGCCAAGCTTCCTCAATTAAGTCAATTATCTCACGATTTTTCAACAAAACTATCAACTTCAAAAACACAACTGTCTAAATTAGCGACAAAACAAAGATTAACGCGCACAGTAATACTCGTGTTGAATTGAAGTGCTGCGGAGCAAGCGGACGCTAATCGCCAATGCTGCTTTTGAAGTTAGCTAGCACACTTTATCATTGTTCTGAGTCTGCTAAAAAAAACCGGTCTGCTAAAATCCTTAGCACAGCACGTTATAATTGTTCTGAAGCTGCTAAAAAACCGGTCTGTTAAAATCCCTAGACCGCTTTTTAGTTTGACAACTTGATAGCGGCAGCCTTGTATCAAATAAGTAAAAAATAGAGAGAAGGAATTGTAATAAAAAAAACAGCTCATGCTTTACGTAGGAAAGGATAGAACTTAATGTTACAAACCACACTGATGTAAGGAAAATTCAAAATAAAGAAAAAATTTGCAAAATAAAAAAACTACAAATATTTTTTTAAATTTTTTCGTCCAAGTTTCCAGTTATTGTTTTTCTGGAAAAAGTGATTGAATTAGCCAAACAAAAGCAAGGATGAGTGTTGTCATAATTAAAGGAGTGTTCAAAGTGAATCAGGTTAAATTCGGTGATCAACCTCTGATCAACCCGTCTAATTTAGTTATAAGAACTATAACTCAATTTTTCGGCATTTTTTTTGTTAAAATGGCTCTTTGAAAAAGTTGCGTAGTCGGTAACATGTGTAGGGTAAACTACGAATAAGTATTTTCAAAACCGACTATTTGCAGACCAACCGATACAAATTGAAAGAGAACAGACACAAGTTTAACGGTTGGTCACGCATACCCTTCCCTTCGGATATCGTTTTAACGACCAAAAATCATGCGGCGACAACGACTCCTTAGTTTCCATAGGTCCCGGATAGATGTCCGCGTGCTATTCTTGGACTTTCAAAATAGCGCCAATGTTAACTCCGCGACCAAAAAATTTTAATTCAGCAGTTGTTAATGGTAGCAGACAAAATCATTTAAAAAAATTAATTTTAACAGTTTTTGATCCTGCGCATGATCTCAGCCAATAACCCAGGAAAAGACAAAGATAACTGATTTTCGTAGACCTCACATCCAAATGAGTAAGCTCTAAGTTTTGCAAACAAAAGAAAAACCTCAGAACAATAGAAAAATGTTGTTACATTGAATAAGTATTGCTAAATCGTATAGCAGTTAAACACGCCAGTGGCAAATTAATGTTATTCGGCCGAACCGATCGTGGCCAAATACTATTTTGGCGCGCCGGTCGGATAAGTTTTCATGGGTGGCGCTGATCGCGGACACATATCAGTCTGAAAAACCTGAAGATATCAAATTTTCGTCTCGACATCATCGATTTTAGGATCGCGAATAATATCCCATCTGAATTGAGAATACCTGAACTCGCAAAATGAATTCACTCTTAAAATCTCTGTCTGACGTAGCGTTCTCCTTATTCAGAATGTTCTTCAACAAACACATCCAAATACCCTGCGGAAGAAACTACGCCCAATTTAAAATTTTTCCTTAAACCCATTTCAAATTTTTAGGTTTCCATCCTAGGCTTAATTTAACCAACACAAATTGATGAAGTTGTATCAAAAGTGCCATGTTTTATAGGATTAATGCAGCAAAGCATGTCATCTCCATGGATTCGTTAGTTGTCCTCTCTGGTACATTATTTATAAATGTTCAAACCAGGGGGCGGATTTAGGAAATTTTTTACCAAAACATCGCGTGTTTTCTTCGCGCGCTCCCCCTCAAGTTTAGCATACATAGACGCCAAAGACTCTTAGTAAATTTTTGAAGTCGTTCAGCCAAAATTGTTGGGTGCTGGGAATAGCTCCAAAGCAGGATCTTAATGGTCTGCAAGTGATCGAATTCCGAAGGGGAATAAAAACACTATGCTTTCCAATAAAACGCTTCGCTCGCTATCTCGTTTGTCTAAAATGTCATTTAGTACTAGTAATTTTGATGGCATTTGAGGTATTATCCTCTTTTATATTTGTGTAATTTCATTCTAAAAAAGGAATCTGTTGGCCCTATTATTTTACCCAAAACCCTGATTGACCCGCATTGCTCTTCTCGTGCCGAATATAAGCGCAGCTGAACAATTGGTCGCTACTTGCAATGATGCCTTTGCATTCTGAAGTTAGCGTACTGGTTTGTTGACTGTTTTGAATGTGCTTATATGTCAGACCTCTAAAACATCAGTCTGCTAAAAGACCTAGTAACTTTTAAGTAAAAATTCAATTCCAGAAAAAGCTCATTAACTTTTTTTCACTTTGCTTTTTGGTCGATAACTTGATGGCATCACGGAGTAATGCACTGGTATACTAAAGCTAACTAAACTAAGTTAAAAGAAAAAAAAATGAAAGTATTGAAATAAAAATGATTTTTGTCTAACGAGAACATTAAGTGCTGCAAAGTCCAATGGACTTCGGTTAGAACACAACTGACAGGTATCTAATTAGTTGCTAGAGGTCAAAGTTAATAGAATAAAACACGCGATCACAATGATGCCCAATGCAAAAAAGTTTATATCTGCGCATATGAAATAGCTAGTCTAAATCACACACACATACTCCATTCACCCTTCACCCCACGGGATCCAAAGTTTGAAACCAAAAAGAATCTAAATTACAGCACACCGTGGAATATACAAGAGAATATACAACTGTATCAGGAGATGAAAATGGATTAAAAATTATAAGCTACGTACAGTTCATTTTAGATATATACAACAGGGAGAAAAAAATATGTACATAGGGGGATATTTAAAATATAAGCAAATTAGACTAAATTGCACTAAATAAATGAACAAACTAAAAGAAAATGTGCTATAAAGAAAACCACTAATGTACCCACTCCACTATTGAGTAAAGCAAAATGTAGTCTGTAGGATTTAGCAAATTATTAAAGTTAAATCAATGGTAATCATTTAAAACGCATTAAACTAAACTACATATAAAATTGAAAGTTTTTTTTTCGGCTGCGTTAAAGTTTTGATGAAAGTGATCCCCTCTATTCTGGTTTCACCATCAATGATTCAAGAACTGTCACTCTCTTGGTCTTTATCCTCCATCGGGGGTATATGAGTAGGTGATCCTAACAACACTACTTGCGGTTCCAAAGATGAGCGGTTGAGTGGGAACATGCGTCGTCTCGGCGACTAAAGGTGGTCTAGATTGGAAATCGACCAATGGTGTCAAAAAAATGCATAGTGGGACTCAAAATTGTTAAGAACTCTGCTTTTGTGAGAGGATGCAAATGATTTTAAAGGTTCCTCGTTTGAATCTTCAACGTCTATCGCTGCTGTCAATGGAAGCACTTGCCCGATGAAACGTCCATCTCTCTCCATAGAACTTAGTAGGCCCAGGTTTTCTTCTTGGTCGTGATGTGTTGCACAATGGTGTGGCTTGAACTGGTTCACTTGGTTTTTAGGGGGAACTCTCTATTGAAATTGGCTTCTCGCTCGTGCCCTTAGATGTTGATGGGGATCCCGAGATTGGTCGTTTGTCAGAAGTATGTCATCTTGAATGATCTAAAGAACTTTCAAGTAGAAAAAAATGGGAATTAGATTTAACACTAGAATCTGTGCTCAGATAATCGTCCAAGTCGTTGTTCCAATGGTCTAACTCTAACGACGATGTAAAAATCTGAATTAGCGTAAGAGAAACCTTTTGCGTTGGGGATACTTTTTTCGCCTCTTCGAAGCTGATGAACCCGATGAACCCGAAAGTGATGGTCCTGCTTCATTCGAGTCCATCCGTTGATTGGCGAGTTTCTATTTCTTTTCCCTGGT